AGGCGCGAGCCGCCTTCCGATGGATCCGCGTGAAGAACACGCACGTGCCGCGGGGCTGGGCCACGGGCGAGGGCCACGAGCCCGGCCTGGACTACGACTACGCGGTGCTGGAGCTGAAGCGCGCGCACGGCCAGCGGCCCATGGCGCTGGGGGTGAGCCCGGACACGGAGGACACGCCGGGCCGCCGGATCCACTTCTCGGGGTTCGACGACGATCGGCCGGAGCGCGTGGTGTACCGATTCTGCCGCGTGGCGCGTGAGTCTCCGGATCTGCTGTTCCAGCGCTGCGACGCGCGCGCGGGCGCGGGCGGCTCGGGCGTCTACCTGCGGCTCCGCGACCCGGCCACGCGCGCCTGGACGCGCAAGGTGGTGGCGGTGTACGCGGGCCACCAGCGGGAGGCCGGGCCCGGGGCGCCGGGAAGCTACAACGTGGCCGTGCGCATCACGCCGCTCAAGTACGCGCAGATCTGCCTCTGGATCCACGGCAACGACGCCGACTGCGCCCACGGTTAGTGGAGAGCCGGGGGACCCCCGCCGCGCTCCGGGCCCGGCTCTGCCCCGCACACGGCCGGTTCGCCCCCCTGGACAACGTCTCCCGACACCGGGAAAGATCTGGATGTGGACACGTGGGGCGCCGCATCCTCGCTCGGCACGTGACTTGTTTTTGGTGCTAGTCCTGGGGTTTGAACTCAGGGCCCGGGCGCTGTCCTTGCGCTTGTCTGTCTGTCTGTTTGTCTGTATGTCAGCAGTCTTGTCTGTTTTTGCTTCCGGCCAGAGCTCTACCCCTCGAGCCACAGCCCCACTTCTGCTGGCTTTTGGGGGGCTCCGTTGGAGATGAGAGTGTCACGGTATTGGCTATCCGAGCTGGCTTCGAACCACCAGGCTCAGAGCTCAGCCTCCTCCCGAGGAGCCAGGATGACAGGCTGCGGCTTTCGTGTGTGTGTGTGTGGTTGTTTTTCAGAATTGCTGAAGAAATTGCCAGCTTGGGAAACATAAGTACGAAGGACTGCTTCCTAAAAAATCAGAAGCTGCAGCGACTGTAAACCTGGGATGCTTCGTGAAATAAGCCTAGAAGCAGGAAGCGTATTTTACCATGTCAGAGTTTTCCTACTCAACATAGGAACATTTCATGCAGGCCTAGGGAGAGGAACTTATAAACTAGGATCATGTATTAAAAGGCTTTTTTTGCTCAAGGCCAGCACTGTACCCCTTGAGCCACAGCTTCTTTTTTTCTTTCCTTTTGGAGATTCATTGGAGATAATCTCACAGACTTTCCTGCCCAGGCTGATTTCCATCCTTCCTCCTCAGATCTCAGCCTCCTGAGTAGCTAGGATGACAGGCGTGAGCCACTGGTGCTATATTTTGAAAGCAAAGAATTTTGTAATCTTTTTCTAAAGAGAGACCTATTTCTCTTGATTAAAAGAGGTTAAGAGAAAAAGGTATAGTTTCTCTTTGGTTTGCAGTACTGGGAGTTGAACCCAGGACCTTGCACAGACAACAGCCCCCAAGTCTTTTGGTTTTCTTTTTGAGATGGTGTCTTGCTAACTTTGCCTTTACCTCCAACTCATAAACCTCCTGTCCCTGCCTCCCAAGAAGCTGGGATTACAAGTATGCATCACTCTACACAGCTTCTGCAAGGCAGTTTCTGAGACTACATTCTCTTTTCTGATGACGTGAACAAGTCATTGATTCTGCTAAGGTACAAATACATTTTAATTATTCCTTTAAAAAAGATATCTCCTAAAAGAATAGGGGTTTCACTCTATTAGTAATCTTGTAAGTGGTGCTTAAAATAGCTGAAATTGAATGCAAGTTCATACTGTTTTTACCATACTTGTTAAAAAATACAAAAATTTAAAAATAAATTAGTTGTAATTTTTACTGTTTTTTGTTTGTTTTTTATCGGTCATGGGGTCTGAACTCTGGGCCTGGGTGCTGTCCCTCAGCTCCTCAGCTCAAGGCAAGCACTCTACCACTTGAGCCACAGCACCACTTCCCACTTTTTCTACTTATATGGTCTAAGGTATCGCACCCAGGGCCTCATGAATGCAAGGCTAGCACTCTACCACTGAGCCACCTTCCCAGCCCCTCTTACTCTATTTTTATATAATTTTACTTCAAGGGTCTTAAGTATCAAATTACATTTAATTAAAAAATGATTCTATTAATCTAAACACATGACACTTAAAGTATTTTATTGCTTGTAATGAATGGAGTTATTGACCTGCAAGTTTTGGTCAAATGTGAGGAAAAGCATGTATATGATGATCACTAAGCCAAAAGTATTTGAAAGCGAATTCTGCATATTTACCTGCTTGCAACACATGTGCACACACACACACACACACACACACTTATTTGCATATAATTTCTGGGATTTGAGTAGAATCAGAATAATCTTAGTATGTTTAGTACAACAATTTGGTGTTTAAAGTGCTCAGCAGAGTACAGGTGGCTCACTCCTATAGTCCTAGCTACTGAGGAGGCTGAGATCTGAGGATCACGATTCAAAGCCAGCTGGGGCAAGAAAGTCCATGAGACTCTTATCTCCAATTTACCCCCAGAAAACCGGAAGTGGTGCTGTGGCTCAAGTGGTTGAGCGCTAGCCTTGAGCTGAAGAGCTGAGGGACAGCACCCAGGCCCAGAGTTCAAGCCCCATGACCGACCAAAAAAAAAAAGGGAAATCATTCATACATATCCTTTCCTTAGAATCACTGTTGAATATACTTTCTTTCTTAGCCTATGTTAGTTACTTGGGGGGGCATTTCCTGTGGCATCTCTATGCATTTACCTTGAGCTCCAACCAACCTCGAGCACCTCCCTCTCCCCCAGCAACCCCAACAGGGCTCCTTGTTTTGTTTCCATAGTTGCCAATCACTGATTTCAGGGGCTATGCAACCTCCCTTCATCCTCCTCTCCAGCCAAACCCCTCCAACCACCCACAGAGTTCACTGTGTATAGATTGAACTTTTAGCTCTTTTGCTTTGCAGAGGTGTTTTTGGTTTTTTTTCCCCCTCTCTTCCCCTGAGGGACTTGTGATCTTCCATGAACTGCTTGGGACCTCAAAAATATGCCCAGGAAAATCCAATATGCGACTCAGATTTTTTTTTTTTGGAAGCGGGTAGAGTCAGTTGTGGGACTTGAACTCTGGGCCTGGGTGCTGTTTCTGAGCTCTTCAGCTGAAGGCCAGTGGCTCTACCAGTTGAGCCACAGTGCCACTTCCAGTTTTCTAGTGGTTAATTGGAAATAGTCTCATGGGCTTTTCCTGCCTAGGTTGGCTTTGAACCGTGATCCTTAGATCTCAGCCTCCTCAGTAGCACTCTACCACTGAGCCACACTCCCAGCCCCCTGCTCAGATTTTAACATGGAAAGTGAATTAGAAGTTGGGAGCTGGTGGTTCACACCTATCGTTCTAGTTACTCAGGAGGCTGAGACTGAGGTTGGCATTTTGAAGCCAGCCCAGGCAGACAAATCTGTGAGACTCTTATCTCTAGTTAACCAGTTAAAAGCCATGGCTCAAGTGGTAAGCACCAGGTGTGAGAGAAAAAGACAAACTGAGCAAGAGCACAGAGGACCAGAGTCCAGCACTAGCATGCCCACACATGCACACATTCATACAGAAGTACACACATGCACACATACATACACAAGTATATACATACACACACATACATACACAAATACAATACACAAGTACACATGCACACACATACAAGTACACACATGCACACACACATACATACATGCTTAAATAGCATCTACTTATCTAAACAAATGTGTTCAAATACATATGGCCCAAGCACAAAGAGTTGTGCTGACATTATGTTTTGAACTTTATCAATGACTTAATTTAAATAACTTTACAAAACAAGTAAAACTGAACTTTTCTCCTTACATAAATCGGTGCTGGGGACTTAGCTCAGTGCTAGGCCCTGAGTTCAGTCCTCAGCTCTGAAAAGCTAAATAATGTTTATTGGTTAGCCTTCAACCAGTGCACATGACAAACTAGGGGTCATTCAGACCATAGCGTTAGCTGAGGTTGGAGTCTGCACTAAAGGTTTACCCTCAGCCTTGATTTTCACGATGAGATGGGGGTCTCACTTTGTGGTCCAGGCAGCCTCCAGCTTGTGTGTCCAAAGGATCCTTCTGCCTTCTTCCAGCCAGGTCAAGCCCAGCCTGGATCTTCTGATCCAGGCCAGCACAATGTTGGGGTGCGTTTGCCAAACGTTCTTGTCCTTCCATGGTAGCTGCTTACTGTGGTCGAGGCTACTTCTGGTGCAGCAGTGATGGGCCTCAGCAGTGACCCCAACCAGGACTTTCCCAGCTCTCCCGGGCAGCCGGGTCCTTATCCACATCTCATTACAGCTGCAGTTGCAGACACCATTGCCGTCTTGGATCTGAGGGGCCAGGGTAACTGTCTCCCCACTGGTGCCATTGGTTCCCATTGGAATTGCCCTCCTGCTTCTGGAAAACTCCACCGGGATGTCCTTATCCTTAGCATCACCACTGAACCATATTGATCAGAACCAGGACCCAGGGCTCGGATTCCCCACTTCATGCCCACTTGCCTGTCTTCAGCCTCCTTTGCCAGTTTCTCTTGCTCACTGCTGCTTCAGTGAAAAGCTAGCTTTGGCTGAAATAAATTTGCTGTTAAGAACTCCTCTTGGTCTCCTTCCCTGGAGTGTGTGTGTGTGTGTGGCTTCATCTTCATGTTTAGCTGCATCTCTGGGGCTCGTGTAGGAGTTAATCCACACCCCATGTCGTGTAACTGGACTGGACTCATTTCTGGTTGTCACACCCAGATGACACAGCAATAAGCACAATTTAGGCCATCAGTGCTATGGCTGGCATTAGCTCTGCAGCACTGTGGAAAAAACCCATGCCAGGTGTGGTAGGACACAGCATTACTGCCAGCACCTGGGTAGCTGTGGCAGGAGGATTTCCAGCTGGAGGCCAGCCTGGGTGACATGGTAAACACAGAGGGAGAGGAGAAGTAAGTTGACACGCGCTAGTGAAAGGAGAAAAGCTTGCCTGTGGTTCATGGTTTCAATCTGTGGGCACCTGGGTCTGGTTTGTGGAGATATGTTACGCAGAGAAGCCTGGTGGAGGAAAGCTGCTCACTGCATGGAAGTCAGGAAGCAGAGAGCCAGGAGGAAGGGGCTGGAGAGCAGACACAGCCTTCAGGGCCGGTGCCCAGTGACCCCACGCCCACCAGACTCCAGTTCCCAATAACCTAACCCTATGACATCATCCACAGATCAGAACAGGAGTCACACTGGCCCCGGGTGACCTGTCACCTCCAGTATCGGCCGGGGCTTCAAGGACTAAGCCTTAAACACATGGATTTTGGTAGTGGTCATTTTATATTCACACCACCATACTTGTTTACCCTCATTTTGAGCTTTTGGTCTTTACATATTGTATTTCATAGGTTATGGTACCTTCTTGATTAGATATTTCTGTGAAATAGCTAATATTATAATGTAATAGGGACCCTTATTACAACTATCAGG